ATCCACATAACACATATCATATTAGCCATAAAAGCTACACATATCACATAAGCCATGCATACAACAAATAAGGATAATGTGGGCTCCTCCTAAGGTCTTACTCCATGATGTCATGGGCTCCCCACATGGTCTTATACCTAAGTGTCATGGGATCCTCCCATGGTCTTTAACTGGAAAGCCATGGGTTCCCCCACATTTTCTTACACCCAGGTGTCATGGACTCCCCCATGGTCTTTACATGAAAAGCCATGGGCTCCCCCACATGGTCTTACTTTCAAGTGTCATGGGCTCCCCTAGGGTCTTCCCTGCAAGTAACACATATATATAGCAAAGCACTAACATAACTAACTATTGTAACACGTATCTCTATAATAAACAAGTATGCCACATATCACACGAAATTGGCCAGCCTTGGTGCCTTCGACCCATTGGTATGGTGAGGAGACTCACCTCTCACGAATATTGTCCTGACAAGATAAGATCCAATAAGTCCCAACGCGTAGCTCCAACTCAAATCGTTATGAGCATCATAAGATTAACTTGTCACAGTCCCATAATTACCCTCAAAGTCAACCATGGTCAACCCTGATCAACAGTCAAGGTCAACAGTCCATGTTGACCCCAACTCGTCGAGTGTAGAAATTCGTCGAGTTCTTACAGAGTCCAGAAAACCTGAAAAACCCTAGCCAAATCGTCGAGTTGTTTCATCAACTCAACGACTTCACTTGATATCCAGTAGGCGGGGAAACCCAATTCGACTTGTCGAGTTGCTAGGTCAACTCATCGAGTCCCCCTCCATGTTTGCTTATTATGATGATTCAGCGAATGCAAAGACTCCAGGGAATAGATCTGAAACCTTAAGGTGTCCAGAGGGATATAGTTTCTAACTTTACCCTCTATAACCACTCCAAATTCTCTAAGGTCCTTATCCCAGGTTAGGGAGCTCAAAAGTCTTGCCATACATTCCCAAAACTTTAGGGATCTGGAATCCCTCCTTTCCAGAGGAGTTTCTAGTCCTCAAAACATTCCAAAGATGGAGGCTTTATGGACTTGGATTCCCAATGTATGGCTTTAAGTTAAAATGGCCAAAAAGGGGAAATATATCTAAAACCCCTTACATGGCATCCTTGCTTGATCAAAAGCTAGATCTAGCCTACCTTGGGACTATTTTGCCTTGGAGATTCATAAAGTTTATGAACGTCGTGCATGCAATCAATAGGAATGATAGGAAATGAAGAGTAAACTCAAGATCTAGCCATATTCTAAGATAAAAATTGAATCTTCAAGACTTACCACAGTCCACAAAATGGTCAAGATCAAGAGTGGGGGTTTGGTTTACTAGATCTTCTTCTTCTTCTTCTCACTATCTCCTTCTTTTCAAGCTCCAAAAGTCACTCTAGCTCAAAAAATGAAAGAGAATGGGGATTAGGGTTTAGTACAGACGTTCTTAGGGTTTGGAGGCTCATAGAAGGTCAGCCTTAAGGTTCTTAAGGAGATTATATAGGGTGCTAACACTAAAATTAGGGATTTCCTTTACAGTACCTACTCGTCGAGTCGGCCTTCCAACTCGTCGAGTAGGGCCTAGATCCCGCGTCCTCAATATGATCTCTACTCGACGAGTCGGGGCTCCCAACTCTTCAAGTTCTAGCATCAAAACTCTAAAACTTAGAAAATTAAATAATACCTGGGACAGGTGTTACACACAGCTTTGATATCCCGACTTTGGAAGACTGTAAGTCAATGAATGTGAAACCAGAAATGATAAATTTATAGTCTAAACTCATGTATAAAATCTAAAATACATGTTGCAAGAAACCTCATGATAATCCGACTTCAAACGAATTAGATATACATTTTTAAAATTTCACAAAATATAAAAATAAAGTTGAAAAATATAAAATTCAGAACTTTGGTGTTCCGACTTTGGAAGATTGTAAATCAATGAATATGAAATGAAAAATGACAAAATTATAGTCTAAAATCATGTACAAACTATAATACACTTTACAAAAAACTGCATGCTCTTCTGACTTCAAACGAATTAGATATGCATGTTTTAAAACATTCACATAATACAAAAAAATCTAAAAAAACATAAAATGTCCAACTTTGATATCTCGACATTGAAGGACTGCAAGTCAATGAATATTAACTCAAAAACGATAAAATTATAGTCTAAAATGGTGTATAAACTATAAACTACACTTTGGAAAAAATCCTCATGCAAATCCAACTTCAAACGAATGAGATATGTATGTTTTAAACTTTTTATAGAAACCGGTTCCGGCCCCTAAAACCGATTCTGGTTTCTAACACGGTTCCAGTTCTGAAACCTGTTTAACTTGGACCCAAAGAACCCAAAGCCCAGATTACCCGAAACTCGGAGAAAGCTATTCTTTAAACCCGAGACCCAGACCGATTCTACATATTCCGGTACTAACGGTTTTGGTTCTGATCCGATACCGGTTCCGGTTCGGTTTTTTGGTTCTAAATCTCAATCTCTAATCTTGACCACTTACTGATGAAAATAGATGGTTGAGATTTAGTTAGCTAAAATTAAATAAGTCTTAAAAGCCAAATGTTTTCTTTGTACTCTTCATAGGTTGTTTTTGTAAGTTTCAAGGATAAAAGTTTAAATGACATAATGGAACGTATAGCAATTTCGTCGGTGAAGCCCAACACGTGCGTAATCCCCTGGACACGTGTCACCGTGTGGTTTAGTGGGTTTTTTTTTTATTATTATCTTCGTTAATTGTTTTTCTACAATAACAAAAAAAAATCTTTTTTTTTCTAAATCTTTCCGTTCCAAAAAAAAACAAAAAAATCTTTGAAAAAAAAATAAACTTCTTAAAAATATATTGTCTACCAGCATAATAATGAAAAATTAAAAATAATGATAATTTTTTTTTATAAAAAAATCTCCAAAAATCATACAAATTTAAAGGATACTTCTACATAATATACTAATGAATTTGTAAAAAGAGTTTTTTCACAAATAAGATTTGAAGCGTTTATTTTTAATTTTAAAAAATATCAATTTTTAAAAAATGTTGAACATAATATGTTCAAAATATGATGATTCAAAATATTTATGATTAAATTTTTTTTTTATTCAACTTGTTTATTATCCTTAATTTGTTCTGATCTGAAAGTATTTAGACTCAAATATTGTATAATCGTTAATTATATCTTTTATGATTCAAAATATATAATGATCAATAATTCTTTTGGAAAACAAAAACTTTATTTAAGTGAATATATTATCGATTCAATATCATATGATTCAAAAATGATTTGATTCAAAATAATATAATTCAAAATAATTTGTGTCGAAATTTTATGATCAAAAAATAGTATGAACAAAAAATATTATGATTCTTAATATTCTAGTTATTTAGAATTTTATGGATATTAAATATTAAAAACTCGAATCGATATTTAGTTTAAAAAATAAAAAAAATTAATCAACAAAATCATATTATATCAAAAAAATCATATTAAATCAAAAAAAATAATTCGTCTCACACGTGATTAAATCTTCAAGTTCGTATTAATTACCACGGATATGATTCGCATGCAAATATATCATGCCCAAGTATTGGGTTTGACATTTGTATCGTTAACTAAATGATTGATGGAGAATTGGTCTTGCAGTCATCACTATTTTTTGAGTTTTCACCAAACCCGGATATATATATATATATATATATATATATATATATATATATATATATATATATATATATATATATATATATATATTTGTTTTAAATAATGGAGAATAGTTTTAGTGAGATTTAAACTTGTATTGTTTATCAAGAATAAGAATAAAGTTGATCATAAATCACACCAATAGTGAAATTGTGGTAAACGTGATAAAGAAGACATGGTGGGAAAAAAAAACAAAAGGCATGGACAAGAATGATGACTTTATTTCGAGGTCCTATTCTTTTGTGTATTATTGTATTTTTGCAAGACAGGTTGTCAAATGTCCAAACACCATGAGGATTTAAAGTTTGAATATGAACTTTTCTTTTTCATCACAAAATGATTTAGGTATTAAGGTTTTTTATTTTAAACATTATATGGCATTCAAAATAAGATTACAAAAAAGTAATCACAAGTTAAGAAGTAGATTAGGGTATGAAGTTAGCCGTCAAAAATAATAATCATGAAAATAAATCGTATGAAAATATATCGTATTAAAAGTTCTTTTTTTAGACTTATGAAGATAATGATCTTATATATGAACATTTTATATTTTCTCAGTATCATGATGATAACATCAGATCTGGACAATAATTCCTTCTAAGTATTATGATGGTAACATCCGATTTGGACAAGAATTTCCTATGAAAACGAATTAGTCTCCAAATTTGCTCTAAAGGTGTCGAAGTGTTGTTCGTTCCGTATCAATTATAACTTGATCTTGACTAAAACATTAATGATGGAATTAACTTCCACTACTACAAAATAGATTAAAAAACCCGGTTAAAAGCTTAATACAACCCGGTTTACAACCGGGTCTTTTATGGGGCGAGTCTTATGTGAAAATCCTAATAAAACCCGGTTTACCAACCGGTCCCTATTAATGTAATATATCTCGGTTTCTATAAAGGAAACGGGTCCTTTAATTCTTAGCATGCAGGCTTTTGTACAATCATATAATCCGGTTCTCAACCAAAGAACCGAGTTCTTTTATACAGCTCATATGATATGTTGGCTGATTAAACAACCTAGTTCTTATGTATACAACCGGGCTTTTAACTGCTTTTTAATTTTTATATTATTCTTTATTTGATTTATAATCCATGTACCAATATATTATATTTATAATCCATCTTGTATAACAAAGCCATAGAAATGAGAAACAGCCCTTGATGTCAATTTGAAATGATATCTATAAACAAACAACATAGATTACAAGCACAAATGAAAGATGGATCATCAAAAGAAAATCACTAATGGACGACAAAAGCAAAATATATGAATTATGATTCCTTGAAAATGAGCATGGACACATCCAAGCAAAGTACATTTCGTTTGCAACTAGTATGGGATTACACTAACAAGTAATACAAAAGTAGCAATTGGCGTGATTTTCCTAATAATCTAGAGAACGAGAGGGTAACTGAAAGGTAAATGCCATTAAGCCAGAGATAGCCAAAGATTTTTTTATTGATGCACATTGGTGCTCTCATCTTCCGCAGTAGTTAACCGTCTAGATGAAAGGACAACCCCAAAAAGATTCCAAACAAGACCATATCCCACCTTCATATAAAGTAGGCCCTGAAACCTCAAATATTGATGCATTGAAGACACTTCGATGGATGTTGCCTAAAAAAAAGTACACAAGATATTACAAGTAAATAAGTTCAGCACATTGCATAAATCAATAAAATAATCATAGGATGCAAGTATGAGGAACGAAATTAAACCACATTAGATTCGAAAAAAAAAAAAAAAAAAAAACACTTGATGCACCTGAATGTTGTTTAAGCTAATAAAAACTATAACTGTATATCCAAAAACCTGCAAAAATATATCGAAAAAATCAATTCCAATGACATGTGTGAGATTTCGGAACTTTAGGGTCACTAATAAAGGTTTTGAATTGGTTTTTTCTGTGTGGCGTGGTGGTGAGCGGCGGCGGATAAGGGAGTAGATGTGGACGTTCGATGGACTGTTGCACCGAACTGTCGTCAATGGCGAGAAGCAGATGATTGTTTGGGAGTTCGGAGGTAGGTTTTCACTCATATTTATAATTATTTGGGAAAACCTAAAATAGAGCTAAAATTAGGAAGGAGGGAGAATTTGGAGGGAGTTCAAAAAATTTACGGGTAGTTCAAATTTTTATTGGAGGGTGTTGAAAATAGTTTAAATTTTTTAAAGCCTTATTTTTTAGATAATTTTTTCATAATTTTTTTGTATAAGTTTTTATTAAGATATTGTTTTTTTTTTGTAACTTTCAAGATATACATCTATGTACATTAACTTTTATTATTTACATAATTTTATTTAGAAGCTATTTTCTATAAATTTTAAGCTAGAAGTTTTTATCAAAAATTTTAATTTTTTTTAATTAGACAAATAGCTAAATATTGTGATTACTTATTCAATTTCATTGTTGGATATCTATGGAATTTGATTTTGTAATCAAATTAGTAGTTGGATAGTTATAAAATTTGATTATACACAATCGGACTATGTAGATAATTCGGTAGCCGGATAGCTACATAATCATATTACATAGTCAATTTCGTATTTATTCGTAATTTAGGTACGGAATTTCATTTTGTAGCAATGTTTGTAGTAATTTAGCTATGAAATTTTATTTCGAAACAATTTTCATAATTATTCATCAGATTTCTTATAGTGAATGCTAATTTAGCAAATGGGTTTAAACTAAACTCTTTAATCACATAATCTACATTACCCACATTCAAATGAGTCTAAACATCTCTTTCCCCAAAGCTCAAATCCTTATGATATTTGATCTTTGGGTTATGATCCCAAATTATGAAACAACTCGAAATAGGGTGTTACAATTATCTCAAATCCTAATAGTTACCTATTTTCATTTTATCAAATGGAGCATTATGGATTGCCTTGCAAGGCAGTCCAAACCCATCAAATGGATGAGGTTTGTAAAACAATTTTTTTGGCTCAACTATTAAGCAATTACAAACAGTCCTTGCATTTTTAATTAATTATAATTGATCTCAAATTAAGTCCACATTAATTAGGACCAATTATTAATTAATTTAATTTATTTCCAATTAATTTATTAATCATGTAATAAAATAATACATTTTTAACGACCCAACAATCATAAGGTAAAAATTCATTTTTAATTCCATATATAAACACCAATTATTTTTATCAACCATTCAAAAGCATGTCAAGTGAAAACAGATATCAGAGTATAATCCTAAAATTACAATGTGCGGAAACATGGGTGGATGTGTTGCAATCACACCATGCCCGTCCCTTTCAAACCGTAAGTACCTGAAACCATAAACATAAACCGTAAGCACGAAACTTAGTGAGTTCCCCCCCCCCCCCCCCCCACCAAAAAAAAAATACCACATACCATACATACATATATACACACATACATCAGGCCTCGCCCGAAATCCACCAGGCCCCCGCCCTGACATCGGATCTTACCTAGAGGGCCAATCCTCATTTTTTGACTTAAGCACTTAAGTACTTAATGCCCAAAATTCGGATCTACATCATTTTAATGTCTTAACACGCAAAGTTATCAACTTTACATTTTTGCACTACTTAATGGGACCCAATACTTGTTTTTACCATTAAGACCCATAATAAGAGCCCTAACTCTTGCATGGTCCAATATAACACATCAATATAACACATCAGATCTTGCCTAGAGGGCCAATCCTCATTTTTTGACTTAAGCACTTAAGTTCTTAATGCCCAAAATTCGGATCTACATCCTTTTAATGTCTTAACACGCAAAGTTATCAACTTTTCATTTTTGCACTACTTAATGGGACCCAATACTTGTTTTTACCATTAAGACCCATAATAAGAGCCCTAACTCTTGCATGGTCCAATATAACACATCAAGATAGTGTTTCTATGCACAATGAGCATTAGAGAGATTAAGATCTAGCTTTCCTAGCCCTTAGACTCACAAAGAGGACTCATGGGGCAAAGATATACCAAAACAAATCCCTAAACTAGATCTAGCAAATGGAGTTATCGAGGTAGAAGCTTTATACCTTATAAATCTTGCAAAGTTGATGAAGAATCAGGATCTTCAAGTTCATGGAGGTTTAACCCATGGAGTCTAAGTAATATGAAAGGTCATGGTGCATTAGGGTTTGCATGGATGTAACTCTAGTCTTTTCCACACCATGAAAGGAGTACCTTAGCTGTAAAATTGGTCGATGTGTTTATGGTGAAGAGTCATAACCGATTTTATGCTATCTAGTCACTTATCTTAAGTCTCCTCTTGCATTTGGTTTTTGTGACACATTGGAGGCATCACACTTGAGGTGCTAAAGCTTTTGAAGGCCAAGAACTACAAGTCCTACTAAACGGTAAGTTATCTAATTAGTTGAATTGTTCAATTGTCAAATTGTATGCTAGTTAGGATGTATGCTTTGGAAAATCAAGTTGCATGTATAATAGTGAAAACTTAAATCCAAAGAATCTAGGGTTGCATGTGCACCATAAGTTTGTTAGAGTGCTCAAAACCCTTAAACTCCACCAATGTTTCACCACCAAGCTTCACCTTCGTCAAGGTACCCAAAAACACCACAATATCACAACAATGCCTCACAAACACTCAAATGGAAGCTAGGGTTTCGTTTTCAGTGTTTAGAGGGATGGAGGCTGCTCAGATGATGGTCCAAGAGCAACTTAAAGTGTTTGAACATGGCTCAAACCCTAAAAATTAAGGTTTATCACAAGTAGTTGTACGCTCAACATACGTGGATGCCTCCACGATCAACTTTTTTAGCCCTGAACGCCTAGCATACGCCCAACGTACTGATCAAGGACCCAAATGCAAAAACTTTTAAGTTTGAGGGAAAAATAGGAATACCCGAAATGCGACATTTACAAGCTCATACCCACAGAGACCAAGGTTATGGGGACAAAAGCACAAAACTCATGACTAAACTAGATCTAACAAGAATAATCATCAAGATGGAAGCTTTATACCTTTTGTAGGTGGATTATGATATGGAAAATCCGGATCTACAAAGCATGGAGCTCCATAGTGCTTCTCTAATGAACTCTTTGTTGGACTAGGTGTCTAAGTCCATAACTATATTTGGTATATACTTGACCCGATAGTAGCATGGTCCTTTTGGATTGCGTTCACCAAAGCAACTTGATTGAATGAATAATGGAGATAAAGGATGAAAGTGATTTATTAATATATTATGTGAATAATATATTAAAAGAGAAATCATATTGTTTAATTAATATTTGTCAAAAATTAATTTATAATTAATTTTGTGATCAAAAGAGATTAATTAAATTAAGGGGACTAATACTATAATTATAAGATAATTGCAAAGTGGGCTGAGGAAACCCTAACGGATAGAGTGGACGAAATCCTTATGGACAGGTCATAAGATTTTGTCCAAGGTAGGTTTCTGAAAGATTCTTATAGGCTGCTTAGAGCCTAAGCAACCGGATAAGTATTTGACTGAAACCCTAACTCCTCACCTATATAAAGACCCTCTTGGCTACCAAAATTCGCCTACCACAATCCTAAGAGTTCTAAGAGCCGAATTTTTGCCTTTTCTCTCTATTCTAAGATTCTCCAATTGCTTTGGTGTTTGTGATCTACTAGAGGCACAACATTTGGGGATCTAAGGTTCTTAAAAGCTCGAGATCTTGAAGCTACGATCAAAGGTAATAATCTAACTTGGTTTTAGTTATAGATGTCTATTTTTTATTGTATGCTAGAATCGGGTTTGCAAGTCCTGGACAATTATCGCATGTACAAATAGAAAAGCTAGATCTAAGCTTTAGGGTTTGCATGTGCACCATAAGATTGTTGTAATGCTCAAAACAAATCACTATTCCTTTAAAGATGTACAAAAACCACACTAAGGTCTCAAAACTTTAATAAGATGGCTAGGCTTTCGAGATGACTGATCGAGATGGTGGAGGTTGAGCATGTAGAGGGATTTAAGGAGTTAGAGTCTTCAAATATGACTCACAACCCTAAGAACTAGGGTTTTGGTGCAGCACACCTACGCTCGGCGTTGCTAAACCTATGCTCAATGTAGATCATTAAACCCCGCATGAGATCTTCCACCTACACTCAACATATCCCACACTCAACATAGGACATCAAAATGAAAAAAATAACAATTTAAACATTAAGAATTATACCTGAAGATACGGGTGTTACAGATTATTAAAAACTAGTTGGCTTTATTGTCCGAAAACCCTTAATGAGAAACTAAAGCTTTACAAAACTGTTTTATCGACGAGGGAAACTCATTAAATCAATAGGAGGAAGGAATTACTTACAATTCAAGAAGGGAAGTGAAAAATTACGAAACTACCCTTGCTCTTTTCATCACCATCATCCACGCCATCACCCATTACCTACGTTGCCGCCATCATTGCTACATCCACCTCCACCACCACCATCACCCCCATCGCCACCACGATTACCTTCGCCACCTCCTAATCTCTTACCAGCTAAACTCAATTTGAAATTGGATTCAAATTCAATTTCCTACAACCCAAATAGAATATGGAACTGGGGATCTTGACAAATTTCAATTTCTTTAAAAACATTTTAAAACTCAAACGTCACCTTAAACCAAGCTTGCAAACTGAAAAAAAAAAAAAAAAAAAAAAAACCTTACAAACATTTTTTCAATTTACTCTATTTTTATATTTTATAATTTAGTCAATTTCAACATAAAAAAGAAAAGTCATATCATACATCAAAGGAAAAATATATTCACTAGTTTCAATAAAAAAAATCAAAACTTAATAACTTAAAATAAAGTAACAAAATAATTAGTATCACTAACTCATATTTGAGAAATAATTTAATAATTGATGTCTTAAAATTATTTTATTCAATATGTCAAATAAATAAATAAATAATACTTTTTATTTCCCTCCAAAACCAATTTATCATTCCCGCCACTTGATTTATGTTTCCCAAATTAGCTTTTCATTCCCTCCAAATCTCTCTCTCTCTCTCCCTCTCTCTCTCTCTCTATATATATATATATATATATATATATATATATATATATATATATATATATATATATGTATATATATATACACACACACACACATAACCCCTTTATTTTACCCCATCACCCTATAATTGAATTAGTTCAATCTCTAACTGGTTTGATACTAAGAAAGGGATAAATCAAAGACGTGTAAACACTATCAATTCTTCATCTATTTCTAAAAGGTTCCGTAGCCACAATATCTAAAGAGCAAGGATCGATGATACTGGTTGGTCGTATATAAAGTATTTCATGATTTTCTATTTGATTAATGGAGTTTAAACGCAAGCCTAATCTAGTTCTGTTTCTGTTTAAATCTATGTTAAATGATAATTGTATTTCATTTCAATGGAAATAAAATATATATTCTCATTTATTAATATACAATCAATACAATCTTGAAATTGCAAATTACTTGAATGCACTTGAACGCAAGAATTACGGCTCAATTGAGTTTGAGCTTCAAGCTATTATATCATTTTAGTTTCGGTTTCATATTCTATACAACAGATTGGCTCGAGTACACTACTAGACAGAAAAGCCGGTTGTTGAAAAACGGGTGCTATAACCCTTTTATAATTTGTATCTAACAGTCATTGAACTCGATTGTATGCTAGAAACTGGGTCTTATAATTGTAGGGATAAAAGTCCCAGTTGTAGCAGCAGAAACCGGGTTAGCTAAGTAGGATATAAATCCCGGTTATTTGTTAGAACTCGAGTCATATAAGCATGCCCTTTATAAAACCCGGTTTTTACAAAATGAGACCCGTTTTTTCCAAAAATCGGGTCCTATATGGCGGGTCTTATTTGCTTTTTTGTAGTAGTGTTCGACTTCTAAAGCACTAACAATAATTTTTGTAGATACAAAGTACAAAATTTTTCAAAGAAAATATTTTAAGCCCAAAGAAAAAACAAAATTATTGTTAACATGTACAACTAAAAGTAGGGGTGATAAAAACTAATCGAATAATCGAATCGAAACAAATGATGTTTGGTTTATTTTGTTTTGGATTATTTGGTTAACGGAATAAAGATACATTATTTAGTTTGGTTTTTGTTAAAATTTCACCAAAACCAAAAAACTGAATAAATAGTTTATATCTATAAATTAACATTTTATATTTAAATTGATAGATAGTTATGAAAAAAGTATTTTCATAAGGTGTTATTTAATTATTAACCATTACAAGTTATAATTGTTTATATACTGTATTTAAAAACAACTAATTAGACAAGTATCAAGTAAGATTCAATCATTCTTTTCTCTTTATATAAGACTAAAGATATATTAATGAACATCTACTACTTGTGTAGCTATATTGATACCTCAAGACAACATATCATGAAAAACTGTATATAATATGTTGTGAAACTCTACCAAATTCGAGATGAATGGTACAACTTTAGTAAGTTTTTTTTTTCTTTTAGTTTAATATTTATTGTTTTATGCGAAATTTTATTTGGTTTAACAAATAAATAGAAACCGAATAAACAAAAAACGATTAAATCGAACCGCATTTGGTTTGATTGTGTTTAGCTTTAAGTTGTAAAAAAACGATAAAACCAAACTATATAAACCAAAAATCGAAAAAAAGACCCAATAACACCTAACTAAAAGATGAAGATAAATGGACTAATAAATATGTTGTGAAACTCTACCGTTGATTTGCCCAACTCAATCCATGAGGCGTAGTATAGCAAGGCGTATTGTGGTGGTTAAGTGGAAGACCGAGTTCTTGCTGTTCTTGACTAGTTAGGTCACTTCTTGTTCCGCTTTTAGTTAAAGGTGCAAGGAAAACAAAGGAAATATTCTAACGGGTCCCGAAAGTGGGTATTTTCGTAAACCAAATCTTGCATGCAAAGGTTTTTGATCAACCGTTATTGTTTGATCTCGACAAAGATAAGTGATTATGACGTCTCATTTTCTTTTTCACTCATCGGAAAGTCATTTGCTGAAGAAATTAAAAAGACAAAAATAATTAAGTTTTAAGTCCCTTAATTAAATAATTAAAAGAAAAGGAAGTTAAATTAAAGAAAAAGGGGAATTTTCATTTAAACTTATGCCCCGCGTAAGTTTTATTACGCCAAGCGTAATTAACAACTGATCACGTATGGATTTTCAAGGAGATGAGGTTACGCCCCGCGTAACTTCGCGTTACGCCCAGCGTAACACGACGACCAGGTTATATGTTTTGACCCTTGACTTTTGTGTTATTCTTTCACTCCTCTTCTACTCTCGCATACGCTGTGACGACAAAACCCTCCCAAAGATTTTCGATTCTTCTTCATTTCTTGTAAAATTCAGCACACAAGTAAGTTTTTCGGTGACTCGATGTTTTAGATTTGTGTTTAATTTGATGAAATAAGCTGCATTTAGCCTTTGTCCGAAATCTCGGGTTTATGGGGTTCTTGAATTAGGGCCGATTTCGCAAATGTATGTGTTGATTAGGGCTTGAATGGACCGATTTATGTTAATAAACTAAACCCTAGGACCTAATTTGGTCTTAATACCGTCCCACACCCATCGATTGAAGCTTGGGGACGTACGCCATGCGTATTTCCCTATGAAGTTTCCTTGTTAATTGTTTGCCAATCTTGAATGGATAAGGAATGAACAGGAGAGTGGTTTATTATTTGGGAGGTCCCGTTTTTTTTTCTACTATGTAGGACCACACAATCCTTATGCTCGATATGCCCATTTGTTTCCCCTGCTGGGTTTATTGCCTGTAGAATTGCGTAATTTAAAAAAAATTGATTTGGGAACAAGCAAACGAACCAGGACACAGACTTGTGAACCTAGACGTACGCCCAATGTACTTTCCCTATCCAGCTCCATTTTTTTTGGTTTAAAAATTTATTAATGCTGTTATACTTTGTTTGGTTTTGTGTTTGTGTTAATATATGCAGATTATGGCCCGAAGGACGCAAAGGACCAACCCACCCGAGGATGTGATCGATCACCATTTTTTACAATTTCCGCAAACTCTGAACGATGCAACCCGGGCACATTATGTCACCAACTTGAGCTTGCTTCTCACCAAGGAAATCGATATAGCACCATCATTCGATTGGGAATTGGCTACTTGGACTGGACTTGCTGCATTGATCCAGGGATTTTTGCAATACACGCACTCGGACGCGAGTGGTGTGGACTTGTTCGTGTGTCAGGGATGGGCACGTTTGTTCCGGATCCAGGAGCCTGTTTATCGGGAATTTTTGCTGGAGTTTTACGCTACAGTTTCCTATGATCCTAGGAAGGCACCCGATGACTGGACAGCTTTTGCCTTCAGATTGGGGGGAGTGACCCGGGAATGTAGCGTGATAGAGCTTGCGACTCGAGTGGGTATTTACACAGCTGATGAGATGAGGAATGTCCACTTCCCGGCATTCCTTGCTGATTGTCCTACGGAGCGGCCAGATGACTATAACGAGAACACTTTTTGGGCCGAAATTACAGGGGCATTTTATACACTATCTACCGCACGAGGGGGGATGATTCGGTCTACTACATACCGAATGTTGCACCGGTTGATTTCTATGTCTCTCACGCATCACAACAACAGTGAGAGAGTGCCTTCGACAGACTTGTATTTTCTATGGGCACTTGTTACTCCAGGGAGGCACCTGAACCTTCCAGTTGCTTTAGCTGTATATTTGGGACGGAGGGCCAGGGGACTTCGGGAGGATAGCCCGATTTGCAGGGGGCATTTTATCACACGTTTAGCCCGGTCATATCAGTTGCTGATGTGTGAGATCACGAGATCGATGGTGTTCCACGACATGAGGCCGATGAGTCTTCAGCTGTTAGAGTCGATGCGTGTATTGGAGCGGGGTGGAGATGGTGTCTTGAGAGTACGAGTAGATGATGTGGCGGATGAGGAGGGTGTCGCCAAGCCACAACCGAGACGGGTCCAGCAGCGTAGACCTGCTCCTTGGGGAGCGCAGCAGGGACCTGAGCCGGAGATTGATATGCGCTACCAAGCTCAGGGCATTGATCGTCTTGACATGAGGGTCCAGAACCTTAGTGAATATGTTGCATATGTGGACAGGCAATAGTAGTGGCAAGGGAATGCGTTGAACGCATTATTTGCCCACTAGGGGTTTCAGTATTCGGTTCCCTACCCACCACCATTCCAGTCACGATATGATGGGGCCGGTACTTCTGGGACACAACAGCATGATGATGGAGATGATGAGTGATTTAGTTATCCTTTTTATTTTTATTTTTATTTTGTGTTTAGTTTAGTATTTTTATCTGGTGTGTAATTAATCTTTAATTTAGTTTGTTTTACTTTTGTTTTCCATGTTGATGCTCTTTGGTTGTTTAGATCTCTGCAGAATTTTCGCTCTTAGAAAGTTGGCAATAAGTTCAGCAGCTAGGTCCGACTGTTGCTAGATAGAGCCATGTGAGAGTTCGAAGATTATAGTCAAGACCCACAATTTGTCATAAGTGTGGGGTGCATATTTATTAGAGTTGTATTTCGACGCGAGGAAGAAGTATCATCCCGGCTGCCACGACATGGTTGACACTTTCCTATGTTGTGGGGGATTTTTCATCGCAAGAAGAGGATGTCATTCATGACAAGACGACATGGTCGACACTTTCCCACGTCATGGTTATTATACATTGCATTTGTTTGCGATCTTTTGCACCACATTTTTGAAGTCGGCAGTCTTGATTTTATTTTTCGGCAAATTCTGAAGTAGCAGTTCCAGTTCCAGTCTTTCAGCAATATTTGAAACAACCTGTAGCAGCCCTATTCGATGTTGCCACAACTACCCAGGGGAGTCTGTTCCTTTTTCTCCTTTTTTATTTTCTTAATTTGTTTTAACATACAATGAGGGCATTGTATGAAATAAGTGTGGGGTAGGGGGTCGGTAAAACTAAATTATAAAAATGAAATAATAGTTGGAAATTGCTAGATTTAGGGAAATTTAAAATTAAAAAAAAAAAAAAAAACTTGAAATAATAGCTTAATTTAGAAAAATCTAGTGATAATTTAAAATTTTGGCTAATATTGTATGAAATGATCCGATGGGAACTCAAATGTTTAGTTGAGCCAATATACGTTATAGTGCATTTGTGGCTTCCCTTATTTTAGTGAAATCATGGAACAAAAACATAACCCCGCTCAGTTTGAAGGATGCAATATGTTTAGCAGCCTAAACCTGAAATGTATCCAGGAAAATTATTATCATTAACCAATAAAGGTTGAGGTTGAGCGCCTTTGCTTAAGCATGTAGGTTTTGAGTGAAAAAAAGAGAGGTACATGTAAAAAAAAGGAGAGAATTACAAGTAAAGTTTGAAGAATTTTGGAGCAAATAAAGTGAAGATCAAAAGATCAAAATTCCAAGAAATTCAAAAAATTGAAGATACCAAGAAATCAAATGAAATAAGGTGGTGAATTCAAAGAAATCAAAGATCAAATTATTAAGAAAGTGAAGAATTCCTAAAAAGCTCCATAGTGGTATCATAAATTGCAATTCTAGATTATGTATGCTTAGGTTGCTCAAATAAAAATACCTTGAGGTTAGGAGGTTTTCTGCGGATGGATTCGGAGGGTTGCATAAAATGAGCATTGTTCAGAAAAAGTGGGCAAGTGTTTATGAAGATTGTGAGTATTTAAAGTATGGGGGGGTACTTTAGGAAAATTTTAGACACAAATGCATGCGTTGAGGTCTTGCGATAATGGTTGAGTTTTAAATGGATTGTTTAGTGCAATATTGGTAAAATAAAAGTAAATTTGCTTGGGGGAAAGCAAAGGCTAAGTGTGGGGTATTTTGATATGTGTATTTTTATATATATTTTTATGCACTTTATCTTAATATTTTGGCCTTTATTATTCTCTTTTAGAACTAAAAACTACTCATAATGCTTTGAATTATGTTTTGCAGCTATTCGTTGTTGATGAAGAACAAAAGAAAAGACTGAAGCGGAAACCGGACTTAGAAGCTTAATGGAATGAAAAATGCTGGAGAACCATTTACGCCCAGCGTAATACACTTGTACGCTAAGCGTAGTGCCCAAAATCACAGTACGCCCCACGTAATTAAAGGGTACACCCCGCGTACTGGTTGGCCTCGGATAAGTTCAATCGCGTAGTGATCCTTAGTACGCCGCGCGTAATCCGATGTACGCCCAGCGTACTTAAGTCGGCTACAAAGGTTATAAAAGTCGATTTTTAGCTAACCAGGAGGGGGGATTCGACTTCTAACCTAATTTAGTCGATAATTAACTTCTGTTAAGTCGTTTTGAGGGTCTAGAAGGCGGCCGGAAGGCCGTTAAGCTAACAAGAGCGGAGATCGGAAGGGTTGGAGAGCGGATACGTGTCGGTAATCATATGGCCTGTTAACGTGACCATGTTTAGCATTCCATTGTGTTACTATTCTGTATTTAGTTTCTAACTTGGGTGTAAAAACCTTTTACTTTGTGTTTATGATTGAATGAAGCTTTGATTATTAGACTAATTGCTATATTGAATAGTTTGTTTGTGTTTAATTTATCTTGCCAAGCTTGTTAAAAGATCCTTACGTATTAATGATAATTATTTGTTGTTAATTGTTAAGTGAATTGAGTTGTATGAACATATGCTTGATTTCTTGTCCCTTATGATTTTGATGACCATCGAGATTATGAGTCTAGGAATAACGAATGTGAAACTAGGATTAACTTGGGAATAAGTAAGTTAATGTGTGAGCCTTGTTTGATGACCATCAACAAGAGGTTAATTGAATGTCTAATTTGATTAACTATATTTGCAAGTCTTGCTTGATACGAACTGAACACTAGGAAGCATGTTAGTTTAACCAATTGATCACTGTTTGAATTGACTTGTTTGCTAAAGGATTAGTTATAGTGAACGCGAATCTAATCATTTTAGGAATCGGTGAACATGAATAAATGACTTTGTGTATGCAATTGTCTATGTTTTTAAGGTGTAACTTGTGTAAACCAAAGTACCTGAAGAGATTTGTTTTCCTGTTAGTTTATCGAAAGTTGTTAATTAATTATTAGTTTGAGATTTATTAAACTATTTCTTTTATTCTTTTCGTGCGACCTGTAACCTATAATCAAATATATTATATTAATCCACTGCCCCTGTGATCGACACCCGACTTACCTAAGCTATACTGTAATCTGACTAGGTACACTGCCTATAAGTGCATAGTTAGTCTAAGTTTTTTAGGTTATAAATATTAAAATTAATGGGTACTTTCGTGCACATCAGTAGTATTGATCAAGATTTAATTTGGAATTAATTTAGTGATCAAAAGAGACTAATTAAATTAACGGGTAGTGGTTAAGTCAATGTGTAATATTTATAGTTTGAACCAATGATCCATATTGATTAGGATTGACTAATTCTATGTTGGAGTACATGAAGAGTCACTCCATAAGGCTCATCATATGGATTATTGTATTGCTTTAAGGTTTAAGTAAATGGACTAGGGTTTAAAAGTTAAACCTTGGGAATTCCAAACTATATATGTGTAACCCATTTAGCAAAAAATCGGACATAAGAGTGACATTGCAAGAAATGGACGACTTTGAGTTTCATAACTTCTCTATCTTTGTTCTCTAATTGTTCATGGTTTCTTGTGATTCCATTAGAGGTGCAACATTTGAGGCACTAAGCTCTTAAACGCTAAAATACAACATGCTATAACAAGAGGTAATCTTCTAACTTACTTTTATGATTTAAATGTCAAATTGTATGCTAGTTTTAGGCTTCATGCTTTGGAAATTTTGTTGCATGTATAATTAGCGAAAACTTAGATCCAAAGCTATTAGGGTTGTATGTGCACCATAGGAGTGTTATACTACCTAAAACCCAACAGTGGTATTAGAGTTATGTGTAGTTTTCTGTTATATTTATGCATATCTAATTATTCAAAGTTGAAGCAAAATGAAAAAACTGTTTCTGTCAGCATGAACTCGACGAGTTCACTATTAGACTAGACGAGTTGGATGATTTTGATCATGAACTCGAGGAGTCCACAGCCTGGCTCGACGAGTTGGATGATCAATTGGCAGGATTTTCTGGTTTTTGGCCTGTTTTGGATTAGGATCATTACTACAAAATGTTTTGTTTCATAAAATTTTATTATGTTGCTATGGTAATGACTATCCCCATCCAATAATATGATAATTGCCAAAATTTTAAGATAATTACTTGATTTTGTGAAAAACTGATTATTTGTAAAATTTGAATCATTTTACTACAAGAGTTGAATTATATCAATTTAGTAAAAGATAAAATCATATGATCATTTTATTAGTTTATAGTTTAATCTAAATGTTTTTAAGGAGTTATGAATTTTTTCATCAAATTTGGAACTCAAAATTTTTTTAAGGAGTTAAAAATAAATATTAGTTAAATTGATCTTAATATTGTTGAAGAGTTCCATAAGTTATGGAACTTGAAAAGTCTCATCTTCATAAAATATATTATCTTCTTAAGTTATGGAGTTCAAAAGTTTTTCAAGAATTAAAAAACTTGCCCTCAAGTTTTAAAATTTGAAAATTCTCAATTAAAAAACATTGAATTCATAGAAACCGTAGTAATTTCAAAAGTTTTCTAAAAATGTAAGTCATCGGTTCATAATTTAAAATTAATTAAATAGTTTTAATTTTATTTAGCTTCTTGATAATTTTGAATAGTTCAATTAATTATTATGGACTTTATTAGTAGTTAATTAAATGTTTAATTAAAAGAGTCTTATTAAATCCATAATTATATGGTTTAAGTTTAATTAAAATAATAGTATAATTTATTAATAGATTAAACCATCAAGTATTTTAAAAGTTTAAAATATACCCTTATATTATATAAAATAAAAAGTCTAATATATTATATTTGTATAATTAAAAGGTTATTCTTACCGTTAGTAGGCGTCATTCACGAAACTAATCTATAAGGGGGTATAAGGAAACTGCTTACAAAATGGCAGTTGAATGGGTGTTCATTCTCACCCACCACTTCCTTGATTGGTGGAGGGTTGTTAGCTGAACGAGTATGATATGACACAACTTCCCACTATAAGTATAATGAAATACCAAGTAAGTAAATGCTTAATAAATTCCTAATCTTAGTTACTTAGGAAAAATGTGAATTTGATGCAAACCCATGAAATTGCACTTTGACCTTGTTAAGTCATTAGTGGAGCGTGTTGTGTTAACCAACACACTAATTTGGGACTAACAATGTGTGGAAAAGGGTAGCTTGATGTTAATCATGGATCAATGGAGCGTTTGTGGTTAACTGGCACATTGATTAGGTGATATGTAACATTTAGAGTACCAATCCAATTTGCATGGTTATTCACACCTTGTTTGTGATCATCAGAATCCCAGTTACAAACTTGAAGTGCATAATCAAGATTAAATATGCCATTGAAAATTTCAATGAATCTCAAAGCATCTAGGAGTTTCAATTCATTTAAAACCTAAAATTTATTTTCGTTTTTCATGGTGGAAATTGGTAAATCATCATTTACCTACCTTCAAATATTTTGCAATTGGATTATGGCATCCCTCTTTCGAATTGTAAATTATTGTGTTGGGTCCTAGCCTTAATATTT